GAGGAGGCCGACCCTGTGTGATCTAACGGGTCTTTGGGAGGTAATTGGCAGCAGGCGGTCTCTCAAGTACAGGTATGAGGTATGGACTTCAATGGTAGCCAAATAAGAACCAAGTTTGTGTGATAGGAATGATCTTGCTGATTTCTTGGGAAAGAGTACTGTAATATGAAAATAAGTATCCCAGAAGACAATGTGGAATGTCTCACCTGAATAAGAGTACAGGTAGTCCTCGACTTATAACACAATTGTACCCAACATTTCTGTTGCTAAGCAAGACATTTGTTAAATGAGTTTTTCCTCATTTTACAATCTTTCTTGCCACTGTTGTTAAGTGAATCACTGCAGTTGTTCAGTTACTAACATAGTTGCTAAGTGAATCTGGCTTCCCCATTAATTTTGATTGTCAGAAGGTTGTAAAAGGAGCCTGGGACACTGCAACTTGTCATAAATATGAGTCAGCTGACAAGCATCTGCATTTTGATCACATGATCCTGGGGATGCTGCAAGTGTGAAAAATGACCCTAAGCAACTTTTCTCAATGTCACTAAAAGAACTGTTTTAAGTCGGGGACTATCTGTACTGCAGTATGCATTGCAAGGCTGATTTTTCTTTCAGAATTTTTCCTATTTCTTTGGAATAAGGAATATCTTTGCTAATACAAATATCCTCTTCCTTAGGTAAAAGTACACTGAAGCAACATTTTCTATTTTGTCGGTTTTTCTGAACTGCTTTAAGTTACTTATCCAACTTTCTAACCTTATTTTCTATTTGCCATGTTAAAAGTGGGCAGCTAATCTGGCTAATACTCTCTCCATATAGATAAATAACACTCTTTCCATATATAGAGTATTCTCTCCATATAGGTAGAGAGGATTGAACACCTATGGACAGGCAAAGGAAAGAGCATTCTAGATGGGCTAATTTCTTACATGCTAGCCAATTTGTTGATTCTGTTAAGGATGGTTACCAGAGGATAGCAATGGAAGAAAGGCTAGAAACAATTCT